CATCTGATAGCGATGGGGGGCCGAGACCGAGAGAGCTGTAGCTACATGGAAAGAAATATGCACCAAACAAGCCACTTTGAAATTTAGCTGTTTTGATGAATACAAAAGTTGGGTGACCCTCCCCTATAGACTAAAAAAAGTTGGGTGACCCTCCCCTCAACAAAGAATAAATAGACATGACCCTCCCCTATTTTCCTCCGGTGGCCCTTCCCATAAATACCGAACGGTCCCTAATACATTTTTTTTTTTAAACATCAAAGTCACAATTGTATGTAATTTACACAATTATTAACAACAACTTTAAAGTTGAACAGATAAATTAATTAATTATAATCTATAAACACAATGTTCTGGAATGTGTCATTCTGAGTTTTTACTTTTGATGGTGGGTAAGAACACAGTTGACCATATGGGCGAATACACAACATGAAACTTTTCACGATATTGTTTTCATGAGAAGGTGACAAGAAAGTATTTTAATAGCCGATTATTTTCAAGAAATCAACAATGACAAAATATAAGACAGTCTTTTAATCACAATATATATATATATATATATATATATATATAGGCCTATATATTAATAAATTAGCAAAACTTGGCCACTCTATTTAATATTCAATTATTTTAATTATCACAATTAAAATTTTAATTGTATTAATTTGAACAAGCACAGCATTCAGCATTCAATCAAATATTCTTAAATATATATTTTATAAATAATGTTATTTCAACATAATATCTCATTATTTCGACATAATATGTGTGCGTATTATTCAAGATGTGCATTTGTAAATCCGGTGACACGAGTGCATTAGGCCTATTTTTTATTAATAAGTCAGTGTCGGCTGCTAAAAAGAAGTTGACGATCGCAATCTCCGTAATGAAGGGGCCTAGAGAGAAACACATAATGGTTTACATAATCAGAGAGTAGCCTATTTCTTTACGTTTTGAATTGTTTCGTTTAAAGACATGTCAAGCACTCTATATAGATATATTTCTCATGTCTGTGACTGTGAGGCATAAGCTTAGTTTTGGTTAATTTATATTGAGATGTGCACTAGTTTACGTGCAATGCAGGTGACCGCGCCGGCGCCTCCATGTCATGATTATATTGTCTGCTATATTTGCTTCTTATTTATTAAATACTGGCAATTGGTTGATGGAAAAAATATTAAAATTAAGATACAATTTTATACATAACGAAATTCACTTTAACCTGTTAAGCTGCAAGCCCACTTTTGAAAAATCCCCAGAAATGGCCTTCCCAAACTGAAACAGATACAGTTCATGAACCCTTTGCACTAAAAGCACAAGTATGATCTCATTTGAAAGCTTACACCTGGTAGTTTATTGTAAATGTAGAATTAATTATTGTCATAATGAATTTTTTTTTAAAATAGCTTCAAAGTTTTGTAAAGTTATTAGAAATTTATTTTTATGAAACATCTTCATGAAAATAAAATTGAAGTTGGCCCTGGAGCAATCTAGAAATGCACTGCAGCTAAAGCCATATGTGTGACCATTTTATATTTAAAATCTGAAAATGATAAGTCTAAAACTCTGTATTTAGTTAAATGTTTTTCAAGATCATGTCAAATTACTTTATTTTGATTAGACTGATTTAGTATCTTCAATGCAAACTGATGTTTAGTCATCTATTCAGTCTATTGTCTAGCTATTGTTTTGTGGTGCAAAACGAGGAACATTCAGTCTCAGTCTCCCCTGCACACATTTACACCTCTCCAGACTAGTTATGGCTCTAAATATGCATTTCTTTTATCTGCATTATAGCTACTAACGACTGGCTATTCACAGGCTATTCATAGGGTTTCAAACCCTAATTTCTTTTATCAAAGTTCTCACTAAATATTTGAAACTGGTATCAAATGCACTGAAACATTTCAGTAACCATTCCTATTTAGAAAAAAATCATAAAACAATAACTGCTGGTATAGCAGGTGCACCTGGGCTAGCTAGCATGTTAGCTTAGCACACCATCAATACACGACCATTTATGAGATTAAAACCATGTCTGTTCTCCAAACTTACTTTATAACGCAAGTCGAGTGTTTTAAATAATCTTCTGTGATCTGATTTGGCTTCAGATAAAAAAAAAATCAGACAGAAAATGTATTATTTATAGTGCTCTGCACGATGATGAAATCTATATCGATTAGCATTACATTATAAATATAATCTATTATTATGAAATACCTGGCATGGCTTGAAGAACACAGGTAACTCAAATATCATTGCAATCATGTTTATTGTCTTCAAAACATCTTTGGCCCTGTCCCAAATGGCACACTTCATGTGCACTTTCGGTCTTGTGGACTTACAATGGCTGCCGCGTGCGCGTGTCCGTTAAGTCCGTGAGACCGCAGTGTGTCCCATTTGTCATTTTTAGAAATCAGAAGGGTGCTCGCGAGCGCCCCCTCTGCGGTCGATTTGCGCCCTTGATGCGCACTTTTGCCGAGCCCGCGCTGATGCGGACTCCACAGCAGACTTCTTCCCGACATGCAAAGCAGCGTTACGTCGCGAAAGTGCGGACTCAGAGGAAGACCGCGAGTGCTTAGGGTTCCATTTGGGACAGGGCAGTAATCTGCACTTTACAGCGATCTCTGGAAGCTTTGTTTTTGTGGCAGGACTTCCTGAATGTCACATGGTTATGCACTTCTTCGTGTGTTCCATATATGGACTTTACTGAACAAACAGCGCCCCCAGACTGCCAGTATGAATTGAAAACACAGTACATCAGAGTATACAGCGCTCATAATGATTACATCGACGCATTTGGGTATAAATTCAATAAACATTATTCCTGTCTATAGAAATCTGATGTAAACCTATGAGAATCTATCAATATTTCTCCAAATCTGCACATGTTTGAGCTAAAAGCCCTGAGGGACGTTGTTTTGTCAAGCGCTGTTATTACGATCGCACGGGAGTTTTTTGCTGAATGAGAGCAGCTGACGCTCATAATTCATATTAAAGGTAACGGCTCATTTTTTTATTTTATAACTCCTGACACAAATTAAGACATAACTGTCACTATAAGTTTCTCAGAATACAATAGTGGTCAAATACTGAAACTTGAGTCTTATATCTTTTTAATGATGTAAAGTTTGTCAAGTTAATAACATTAATTATGATAGTAACTTTGAACTATTTAAAAAAAAAAAAAAACGCTTCAGAGCGTTACGCTTGGTGAAGCTTAACAGGCTTTTAACATTTAGAATCTTAAAGTGTGTCTCTTTTGCTTTGGGAGGAAGAGGAAATCTTAAGTAAGCTGTTCTTAAATATTTTACAGTATCTTTATCAAAGGTATGATCTAATTTAATGGGGACCGACTTATGATGCGACGCACAGAGGGACGACGTGTCAGTCCTTGATGATCTCTTCAGGTGTGTGTGGAATGTGGATCTTATCGTTATATCCAGAGCAAGTAACTTAGCCATTGATTCATCAGGTCAGCGTTTTTGGTTGGAATTCTATGAAACATCATGATATTAGCTGGTCTCCACTGTTTATTGTCGCAGCTCTTTACAATACAGCGAACACCCATGATTGTAAACTATGCTTTTACTGTCTAGTAATTGCTGACTCTATTACTCCAATAGGCTTTATGCACAGCTTCACTACTTCCTGAACTTTAGCCAGCTCCTTTGTTTCCTGTCTGCCATTATTGGACAAACTGATTAATCCAGGTGTGCCTGATTATTGTTACTGAGGCCAGGCACACCTGGATTAATCAGTTTGTCCAATAATGGCAGACAGGAAACAAAAGAGCTGGCTAAAGTTCAGGAAGTAGTGCAGCTGTGCATAAAGCCAACTCTGAGCGAACTCTCTGCTCCTCATCACGGTGTGTCTCGGGTGCTGCGGTTATCACTCCGCCCAAGTAGCAGTGCTTCGCCTTCTGAGAATATAGTTCCCAATATTTATACGGTTAAAAGATGGATGTGTCTCATATGATCTTGTTATTTGTACACTCTGTGACTATACAAATCACAACATGTAAATAAGAAAATGTTTGCGTTACTTTGTCACTTATTGGGATTAGTATGCTAGCTGGAGCCATTTACATCTAGTCTTTGTGCTAAGCTAGGCTAGCGGTGGGTGCGTCAGATGGAGTTACAGCACGCACGGAGATGAAAAAGGTATGTATGGACTTATCTAACTCTGGGGGATACGGTGAATAAGCTAAAGTCCCAAAAAGTCGGCGTGTTCCTTTAATAACTGTTTTTAACATCAAGCACTCCCCACTTTTTATTACTGATTCGTCCTTGTTTCTTTATCGCTCTAATGTGTCAATAACGTCTGTCCACTAAAATCTACATGGATATATTTGCATACAACGATATATAAATGATATGTAAAAGGTTTAATCAATTCCATGATATATATCGTCATATCAGTCAGTCCTAGCAAGCAGTAACGCTTAAACACGTTTGACTTGCTACTTGATGAAAACAACAACTGCTTAACTATCAAGACTGACTGGATAACGCAATCTTTCCTCTGGGAAAACTGCCCATCCCTGATTATAGAGATTCCCAGGCACACTGTTTCAGCTCATTTTGGTCTGAAATTCAATGAATTCAAGCAATAGCCGTCATTTCACCATCTAGGTTAACTATAGACCTGATATAGTCCGGCTATGAGTAACACACTCTTAGCCAAAATAACCTTGAATTTGGTAACATGTCGTTTTTGCCAGAATAACTTGCGAGATGTTTGATATTCCATCATGTAAGCAAAGTCAACAGTGATTACAAGGTGTTTGGTTTAATTTCTTCCCTCATTTCATTTCTTTGTTATCTAATTGATGATTAGTCTATTCTTGGGCTATGGTCTATTAAATTTCCACTGACTAGACGTCTGGGCTGTGTTTGGACGGCTATTTGACGTCTTTTAAACACAAATTTGCTTGCTGGGAAGAGAGTGTAATAAATAATAACAATCACTGGTGGTTTAAATCTCTGTATTGTTGCACACAGCCAGCAAATGCAGCACTACACAAACCAGCTAGCGAAAGAGACCAACAGACACCTGAAGGAGCTAGGCTCTCAGCCACAGCCCCGGTCCCCTTCAGAACAGGTGAGTAGACAGCTCTCGCTCATATTATATCACTATATAAGCGGTAATGTACATCCAGCCGGCTGTTCTCTGAGAATAACCCCCGTCAGGGTGATGAGGACGCGAAGCGGAGGGGTCTCCATCAGCCTGAAGGGGTTCATTCTGAGATAACAACCGGCTGGATGTACATTATCCCGATTATTACACGGCTACTTGCCACATAAGTAAACAATTAGGCACAAAATATTGATCTGATTTGAAATTTTTTATTAGGTCTTTAAACACAAAGCTTCCACGGAGAGAACAGTTTCAGCGGCAAGATCAAACTAGACGGACATTTAAGAGATACGGTATACAGTCATAACACTTACACAGCATTTCAACAAATTAATAATGGGGATAAGAGATATTGATTTCAGATTAAACTGTTTTAAAATCGTACCTCTTTGTATCTTATAATTCAACAGTGTACAAAACAATAGTCACAAAATGGCCGCCGCTGCGTTTGTATGAAACAATAGAGAGACCGAGTCCACGATACTGGATGGCATAATTAAATAACTGTACACAAAATATACTTTTAATACTTTATTAGCTCACCAAACGCAAAACTTCCACAAAGAAAAAACGTTCCTAGCGAGCGTATAGCGCTGCTGACTTCAGTGACCGGATGAGCCTGTGTTTCTGTTCTCAGGGGCTGTTATCTGGGAATAATATAATATACCGCCGGATGGTGCGATTGACCAATAAGAATCAAGCATTCCACAGAGCCGTGTAATAAATAAGAGATATCATATATATTATGTAGGAAATTTATCCCACACTCGGATAAATCCGCTCGACCCCTCGCGCTCATGCTTACGCTAGTCTTCTCACAGCGCCAGCAGCGGATCCAGAAGGACCGTCTGATGAACGACTTCTCCGCCGCGCTCAACAACTTCCAGGTGGTTCAGCGTCGAGCCGCGGAGAGGGAGCGCGAGTCCGTGGCCCGGGCGCGGGCCGGATCCAGACTGCAGGAAAATAACACACATTTCATCATTATCTACTGCTTATTTTTTTATGTGTCATTACCTAAAAAAAAGCCTTTAAAAAGTAAAAAAAGCCTTTAATCTTGCAGGTTGATGAGCTCAATCAAGACGAACAGCTTGTGACATTTGAAAAGTAGGTTCAACATATTCATTGAGGCATGACTTCATTGAGTCTCTGTTGTAGTGTTCAAATCTGTGTGAAAAGAGTTTCACCCAAAAGTGGAAATTCTGTCATCATTTACTCGCCCGCATCCCAGACAGCGGGCCGACATTATGCTGCTGTCTGGGTTGCTGAAAGCCCTGTGACAAAACCTTAAAGCATTAAGAAAATAATGATGTGAACGGGCCTGTACTAAGGGGAAATATTTGATTTGTGCCAAACTTAGTTCTTTATGGCTTTGATATTTGGCAACAAAGATAAAACAGCACGTTTGAACTTGTGCAAGAAACAATGAGGTTTGTTTTCACTCTTTAGATTGACATGAAGGTGAGTAAATGATAACATAAGTTTCATTTTTGGGGTGAACTAATGCTGATGATATGATCTGAATCAAATCTGAACAATGTGGGTCTGGTTAGAGATCTGATTGCAGACATGTTTATTTGAAAAGAAATGAAGGGTGGCGAATGCAGATAGATGAGGAGCCTGTCACTGAAGAGGACCTGGAGCTTATTAAAGAGAGAGAGACCAATATCCGTCAGCTGGAGGTGAGTGAGCACTTCCTGTATGACATCATCAGCGTACCAAAATGATCTTTTCTTCAAGACCCATATGCATTCAAGCTAATCTGGCATAAAATCAGTGGCGGATCGTCACAGCGTACCCAACACTTATTTGGGAAATGGGAGAAGAATGATTTAATTTTGAATTCCTAGTTATCATTTCATGTCTCAGAATGTGTATTTCTTGTTTGTAATTTCACCATTGTAAGTTAACACCATAAAATGATACTGAATTACTCTTTACTGTGATCGTGTCAGATATGCCGATGTAATTACAGCCATTCGGAAAACTATTCTATACGGCGAGTCTGAGTGAATAGAGAAGAGGACAGGACACAAAATCAATAGCCAGATTTTTTTGCCTCCATTGGTAAAAAAATAAAATAACCAATCATTGTCGAGTATAGATTAGTGCCCGAAGTATTTTTTCCCATTCATTTCTCCCATAGGGATTAAAAAAGCAAGCTAAGAGGAGAATCACAACATTACAAACTTTGATTTGAAGCAAAACAAGTATTAGAAAATCTGATAAAAATACAAAGATACAAGACTGTGAACTTTTGAGAGCGTAGGAAGACTCGATTATGTCATTTGCAGTGCTTCATGAGAGTGGCCGGAGCTAAAAAGCTCTTTTGACATGTTTTGCTTGTTTCAACTCTCTGATTAGTGTAATTTTCTGTACTGCATCATGAGCAATGTAGTTTTTCATCATGAATTCTGCTGAAACATCTCTACCTTATGGTTATGATCATTTGTCTGTCTTTTGGGTTGCGTTTCTGGATTGCCCCAATAAACAGCTGCATTTGGATCCTGAACCTGTGTGTCTCTGAGCAGTTTGTGACAGAAAACTTTGCCACAAATGGATCCAGCAGTCACTCTAGTCCGCCTTCGCCACTGAACTCGCTCACTCAAGGACCACATCCTGGACTTTCTGGACATTGCTAATTTCACTGACTTCCCAGACTTTGCTCTCATTGATTATGTCTACTATGGATTTAACAAGCCGTTACAATCTAAGCTGATCTGTGATGCCAGGCCAGAGTTCTCAACCGTCATGGACGCCAGGCCAGAGTCTTCACCTGTAATGGACACCAGGCCAGAGTTCTCAACCGTCATGGACACCAGGCCAGAGTTCTCATCCGCCATGGATGCCAGGGCAGAGTCTTCAGCCATCATGGATGCCAGGCCGGAGTTCTCAGCCGTCATGGATGCCAGGCCAGAGTTTGCAACTGTCATGGATGCCAGGGCAGAGTCGTTAGCCGTCACGGATGCCAGGCCGGAGTTCTTAACCGTCTTGGATGCCAGGGCAGAGTCTTCAGCCATCATGGATGCCAGGCCGGAGTTCTCAACTGTCATGGATGCCAGGGCAGAGTCTTTAGCCATCATGGATCCCAGGCCGGAGTTCTCAACCGTCATGGATGCCAGGGCAGAGTCTTCAGCCGTCATGGATGCCAGGCCGGAGTTCTCAACTGTCATGGATGCCAGGGCAGAGTCTTCAGCCATCATGGATTCCAGGCCAGAGTCTTCAGCCAACATGGAGGCCAGGCCAGAGTTCTCAACCGTCATGGACGCCAGGCTTGAGTCTTCAGCCGTTATGGATGCCAGGCTTGAGTCTTCAGCTGTCATGGATGCCAGGCCAGAGTCTTTAGCCATCATGGATGCCAGACCAGAGTTCTCAACTGTCATGGATGCCAGGCCAGAGTTTTCAGCCATCATGGATGCCAGGCCAGAGTTCTCAACCGTCATGGACGCCAGGCCAGAGTTCTCAACCGTCATGGACGCAAGGCCAGAGTTCTCAGCCGTTATCGATGCCAGGCCAGACTCTTTAGCCATCATGGATGCCAGGCCAGAGTCTTCGGTCATCATGGACCCCAGGCCAGAGTTCTCAACTGTCATGGATGCCAGGCCAGAGTTTTCAGCCATCATGGATGCCAGGCCAGAGTTCTCAACCGTCATGGACGCCAGGCCAGAGTTCTCAACCGTCATGGACGCAAGGCCAGAGTTCTCAACCGTCATGGATGCCAGGCCAGAGTCTTCAGCAGTCACGGATGCCAGGCCAGAGTCTTCGGTCATCATGGACCCCAGGCCAGAGTTCTCAACTGTCATGGATGCCAGGCCAGAGTCTTCAGCCATCATGGATGCCAGGCCAGATTTCTCAAATGTCATGAATGCCAGGTTAGAGTCTTCAGGCATTATGGACGCCAGGCCAGAGTTCTCAACTGTCATGGATGTCAGGCTAGAGTCTTCAGCCATCATGGACGCCAGGCCAGAGTTCTCAACCGTCATGGATGCCATGACAGAGTCTTCAGCTGTCATGGCCGTCATTCTAGAGTTTTCAACCGTCATGGACCCATGCCAGAGTTCTCAACCGTCATGGATGCCAGGCCAGAGTCTTCAGCCATCATGTATGCCAGGCCAGAGTTCTCAACCGTCATGGACGCCAGGCCAGAGTCTTCAGCCATCATGGACGCCAGGCCAGAGTTCTCAACCACAGAGGTTATCCCTGATCTCTCTGTCTTCCCTGATAGAACCATGGAGGTTATCCCTGATCTCTCTGTCTTCCCTGATACAACCAGAGAGGTTATCCCTGATCTCTCTGTCTTCCCTGATACAACCATGGAGATTATCCCTGATCTCCCTGTATGCCCTGATACAACCATAGAAGTTATACCTGATCTCTCTGTATGCCCTGATACAACCATGGCGGTTATCCCTGATCTATATGTCTGCCCTGATACAACCATGGCGGTTATCCCTGACCTCTCTGTCTGCCCTGATACAACCATGGAGGTTATCCCTGACCTCTCTGTCTGCCCTGATACAACCATGGAGGTTATTCCTGATCTCTCTGTCTGCCCTGATACAACCACAGAGGTTATCCCTGATCTCCCTGTATGCCCTGATACAACCATGGAGGTTATCCCTTATCTCTCTGTCTGCCCTGATACAACCATGGAGGTTATCCCTGATTTCTCTGTCTGCCCTGATACAACCATGGCGGATATCCCTGATCTCTCTGTACAACCATGGAGGTTATCCCTGATCTCCCTGTATGCCCTGATACAACCATGGCGGTTATCCCTGATCTCTCTGTCTGCCCTGATACAATCGTGGAGGTTATCCCTGATCTTTCTGTCTGCCCTGATACAACCATGGCGGTTATCCCTGATCTCTCTGTCTGCCCTGATACAACCACAGAGGTTATCCCTGATATCTCTGTCTGCCCTGATACAATCATGGAAGTTATCCCTGATCTCTCTGTATGCCCTGATACAACCATGGCAGTTATCCCTGATCTCTCTGTCTGCCCTGATACAACCATGGCGGTTATCCCTGACCTCTCTGTCTGCCCTGATACAACCATGGAGGTTATCCCTGATCTCTCTGTATGCCCTGACACAACCATGGAGGTTATCCCTGATCTCTCTGTCTGCCCTGATACAATCATGGCGGTTATTCTTGATCTCTCTGTCTGCCCTGATACAACCATGGAGATTATCCCTGATCTCCCTGTAGGCCTTGATACAACCATGGAGGTTATCCCTGATCTCTCTGTTTGCCCTGATACAATCATGGCGGTTATCCCTGATCTCTCTGTATGCCCTGATACAACCATGGCGGTTATCCCTGATCTCTCTGTCTGCCCTAATACAACCATGGAGGTTATCCCTGATCTCTCTGTATGCCCTGATACAATCATGGCGGTTATCCCTGATCTCTCTGTCTGCCCTGATACAACCATGGGGGTTATCCCTGATCTCCCTGTATGCCCTGATACAACCATGGCGGTTATCCCTGATCTCTCTGTATGCCCTGATACAACCATGGAGGTTATCCCTGATCTCCCTGTATGCCCTGATACAACCATGGCGGTTATCCCTGATCTCTCTGTCTGCCCTGATACAACCATGGCGGTTATCCCTGATCTCTCTGTCTGCCCTGATACAACCATGGAGGTTATCCCTGATCTCCCTGTATGCCCTGATACAACCATGGCGGTTATCCCTGATCTCTCTGTCTGCCCTGATACAACCATGGCGGTTATCCCTGATCTCTCTGTCTGCCCTGAAACAACCATGGAGGTTATCCCTGATCTCCCTGTATGCCCTGATACAACCATGGCGGTTATCCCCAGGGGCGGACTTAACCATTAGGCAAAGGTCGGCAATTGCCTTGGGTCCCGAGCTACCTAGGGGCCCCCAAAATGCCCCATTAAATTATACTTAAGTTTTTTTTTTTTTTTTTTTTAATTATATATTTCTAAAAAACATTTGCGAAAAAAGGCATCAAATCATTAGTGTCGCAGACAGGAGAGGGCCCCCCACCTCACTACATCGGACTATTCCATTATCTCACTTTCTGCGTGCGAAACGGTGCGAAAGTGACAAGCTGTAATGCGCCAAAAAACTGACGGAGAAAAAGAAGTGATTGACAGACAGTGTAGGCTACAGAGTGACAGACAGAGAAGCTACCCAAGCGGTGCTGAAAAAGCAGGAAGCGGGAGGAAAGCAAAACGTTTTTAGCAAAATTGCAGAAGGTAACAAACTTGTATGTGATGCCCGGTAGGTGCTAACGATTTGTTACAACTCCATGGCCGTAACCAGCTATGAGGTGGCCGAGGCCGGGAACTCTGTAATTTTTTACATTCAAAAATAAAATGTCAAACTCTCTGAATGATTAATTAGCCGTTTAAACCACCTCATATGAGTGTTTGCAATTCATGTTGCTGCGAGAAGCTAGCGCAGTAAACGGGGCTTGAGAGCGCGCTGTGAGTGAGGGCCAGATCCAGTGTTGCCAGATCCACCTAATGGAAAGGTGGCAGTAGTCTTCTGGACCTGTTTTTCTGATTTAATGTGACACTTTAGGAAGTTATTAAAGTGGAAAGTTGCATGTTAGGGTTAATGATATATTAATCTTATTTCCAAAAGACAATAATCCGAATTTTTTTTTTTTTTAATTCTTGTTTTTCGTAGCAATATCTGGCA